TATCTATCTATCTATCTATCTATCTATCTATCTATCTATCTATCTATAGAGATAGAGATAGAGATAGAGATAGAGATAGAGATAGAGATAGAGATAGAGATAGATATAGATATAGATATAGATATAGATATAGATATACTGCTGTCCAGACATTTTAGAGTTAATGGGATTTGGGATAATTAGTTAGGAATTGTGAGCTGTCCCCTTAAGGGAATGCATCATGGTAAATGTAGTTAAGGTATCCTGGAAAATGTAGTCCATGTCATGTGGTCACATCTGTAACCCTGATTGGTCACTGAATTAACCCTTGTTGGGTTGGGGGAGGTTTCTTCACCCTTGCCTGAACACATAGCCTCGTGGTTGCAGCTACCCCCTGCCTCTACTACTATGGGATGAAATATGGAATAGAAAGATTACTATCATTTTACACTACGATTTCAACTATGCAAAGAATTGGACATTAGATGCATCTCGACATAACTGTGAGTCACCTTGAGGATACCTAATATAATCCAATAAAATAAACTTTGTATGGAAGAATTTGTAGAGTTATTCTACCTGTCTTTATATTCAGCAAGTGAATCAAAAGACAGAATAGTAAAATGATAGTAATCTTTCTATTCCATATTTCATCAGAATAGAATAGATATAGATATAGATATATAAAATTGATATTTAATATAAAAAATAAAATTTTTATATTAAATATGTTATCTTGTTTTAAAAAAATTGTATTAGTGGTCCTCAGGATTTAAAAGTATGAGTTTGGTGGTCCCTGAGGTCGAAAAGGTTGGCGACCCCTGGTTTGGACGCTTGACAGCCCAACAGAACTAAGGTCCTTGTTGGATCAGACCATCCAGTCCAGTTCTTGAGCCCCAGGGAACCTTCTGAATGTATCTCAGATTGGGGTTAAGAAACCTGCTTCCACCCCCATTAGATAGCCTGGCCCTGCATGATCAATAGCTACTAATCATCAATCTACCATTCTCTTCCGTCACATCAGTGTTGACATCCATCTCCACAACGTGTGAGAGAGAGAACTCTTTAGCCTAAGAAGGCCACACAAAGCGGCATCTCCACCATTAGGTCCTACCTACTGATCCATTGGGTCCCAGGAGGAGACAGGGGGGTGGAATTTCCATTCATTTGATAGACCTATAATATTTGGGGGGCTTCCTCGCCTCTTCTTCTAACTGCAAAACCTGGTGGGATCATCCCTTATTCTCAGATGTGGAACAGACAGGAAGAACCAGTGGGATTCATGGTCACAAATGGGAAGTTGGCCACCAGCTCCATTGAGTTATGGAGCGAAGTCCCAAAAGTGCTTTTTGCAAAAGGCAACTGGACTTTCTTGGATATATTTTTTTTTTGCTTTGAAAAAATGTTTTGCTTCTCATCCAAGAAGCTTCTTCAGGTGAACTGAAGAAGCTTCTTGGATGAGAAGTGAAATGTTTTCAAGGAAAAAAAGAATGTCCAGTTTGCCTTTTGGAAAAAGCAACATTGGGACAGCCATGATGTGGATGATGGAGAATCTCCGTAGACGTTGCGGACTGAAGAAACAGAAAGTCCTAGTGTGTATTAATGGCTAGGGGAGACAGGCTGCTAGTTACACCTTGGCCTTGGAGAACCAGTTGCTGGGAACAATGAAGGGAAGCCAGGCCATCTGGTGAGCTCTGCTCCTTCCCTGGAAACCCAGCCCTCCCCTCCTCGTGCTGTGGGACAGTGATCCCCAACCTTTCTTATGCCACGGCCCGGTATCCCCAACCTTTTTTATGGCGCGGCCCGGTACCGGCATTAGCTGGGCGCCGCCATCTTTTTTTGATGAAAAAGTGCTTCCGGTGAGCTTTCTACCTGGAAAAGCTCACCGGAAGCACTTTTTCATCAAAAAAAGATGGCGGCGCCCAGCAAACCAGCGGCCCGGTAGGACTTGTTCCACGGACCGGTCCCGGTCTGCGGACCGGTGGTTGGGGACCCCTGCTGTGGGAGACTGGGGGAGAGTGGGATGAGCTGCTTTGCTCTGCTGGGTGGGAAATCAACCCAAGAAGCAGGACAGGGAGGGACCGACCATGTGGAGCTCTCGCCTCACAATCAGGAGACTATGAGTTGGATCCTAGGTAGGGACTAATATTTGGAATAGACTCTCCTGCTCGAGCAGGGGGTTGGACTAGATGACCTCCAAGGTCCCTTCCAACTCTGTTATTCTATGATTTCTATGGTTTTGTGAGGCTCCTGGTTCTGCTCCTTTGGTTCCTCAGCTGGAGGGGCCCTTGTAGAACAAAGGGCCTGGGACAAGGTGAGATACTTGTTGGTGGAGGGAATGAAAATAATGGCAGCATGGATACACACACACACACACACACACACACACACACACACACCTTTTCCTATATCTCACTGGTTCTTCCAATAGTCCTCCCTCATCAGAGCCATCTTTTGGAAGAGGAAGACCAACTTTGGCCTTGGGGATTGGCAATTTTGTCCAGTTGGTGGAACAGCTTTTAACAGGCCACCCTGGGAACAGTAGAGCACAAACTCCAGAGGATGAAGGTCTCATGTTTTGTCCTCTCCTTCCAGATGGCATTATTCTCCAAGCAAAGGGACAAGTGGAGCAGCAGAACCCAGAACCACCAACAGATGACACCTCTGGGAGGAAGCAACAGGGGGGAACTGGTAAGAGCTTCGGTCAATTTGCTTGCGATCTTTATCTTCCTTTATTCCCACAGCTGTTTCCACTGCAGGAGCAAGCCAGCCCACTTCTCTCTGTGTCTCTGTCTCTGACCCTCTCACTCCCTCTCCCCCTGAGGGGTCCTTGGTGCTCTCTGAGCCTCGGGTTATTTTCTTGCAGACGCTAGATGACCTGGCTAGGTAACATCATCACCATTCTCTTTGGGTTGGTGGAGACAGGAGGAGGAGGAGGAGGAGGAGGAGGAGGAGGAGGAGGACTGTGGTGTCCTTGATGCTCTCTGAGCTTGGTGGACTTTTGAAGATGTTTCATAACTCAACTAGGGAACATTATCAGTGCTAGAAGGAAGGGGGTTTGGGAGGAGAAGAGCTCTGGTTTGCCCAAAGCTGACTGAGATTGCTTTCCTTTCTCTTCAGGTCCTCCCTCATATGGCCAGTGCCCACCTACAATTACAATTGTTCCCCAGGACTACTACTGCCAGCTGGGCGGCCCCTGCCCAGGGGATGAAAAATGCTGCCAGATTGGGAGAATGACGAAATGTATTCTTCCAAAAGGAGGTGGGTGAGCTCCTGCCCAATTTGGGGCAAGGTGGATGGAGGGTTGAGGGGGGTGGGTTGGCAGTTTTGGAAGTGGAAGGAGGAGAATCCAGGAGGAGTCATGTCCCAAGATCTGATTCTGCTCTTGCCAGGGCTCTCCTTCCTGGGAAAGGGCAGAGTGCCACTCTTCCGGTGCTGCGGTGCCCTTCTAAAGACTCCAGAGATAGGATTGTAGCACCCATTCTGGTGCCACCTCTACCCATGGCAATTGGCTGGGATCGCAGTTGTGCCCACTAGGCAACTTGAGGGCCCCGTTGAGACCCACCTGATGGAGATGCCAGGACACCCTTCTTGGCCTGAGGGGACCACTCCATGCCCACTTTTTCTCTTCCAGTGCACCACCGTTACTGCCCCAGGCCTGAAGACCAGCCCGTCTACAATAAGCTCTGTGCAGGAGACTACCAGTGTGGATGGCATGAGAAATGCTGCAGTACGGAAGGTCATAAGAAGTGCGTTGTGGCTATGGCAGGTAGAGTCTCCGCAGGACACTTGTCCCCTCTTCCCTGGAGGGCCACAGGTGGTTCTCTCACAGTGACCCTGCAAAAATGAGGGTCCTCCAACTTTGGGGGTACCATCACGCATTGGGAATTCAAAGAAAATGGCTGCTTTGGGGAAAGACTTGACCAATGTTGAAATGGCTGCCAAATGGAGAGAAAACTCACCCAGGATACTTCCTGCTACTCTTCTGGTGGGGTAGACTTGTGACCCATCAAGCCTCACCCCAGGCTCAGTTGCTATGGAAACCCCTGAACTCACCTGGGAATGAGGAGGAGGAGGAGGCTGCCCCTTGGCTGTGCAAGATCCACCTTCCTCTTTAATTTCAGTCCATGGGTGAGGGAGGGAAAGGAGACGCAGAGTCCTTGGAAGCAACCCTGAATGGGTATCCAAGGGGGCCCTGCTTCTGATGGGCTGAGCACCTGAGTGCAACCCCTTCCCCTTTGCTGCACCCCCTCCAATCCTAGCCTGGTTGCTTCATTCCCTCCCATCTGGCTACCATGAGGTCCTTGGTGATCTCAGAGCTTGGTGGATTTGACCCTCACCTGACGTGACCCTCCCATCCCAAGACCCACTGAATGCTGACACTGACCTCCCCTGAACTCCGTTGAAGACGTCACCTAGCCTGCTAACGAAATGTTCAGGAACCAAACCACGAGCTTAGAGGATGAACCTCTGTCCTCATCTGGGTGCTTTTCCCGCAGATGTTTCATTACCATACTAGGTAACATCATCCGCGTCTGCGCAGAAAACCCCAAGCCCAGGGGCCCCACAGTTCCACTCTGAGCCACAAATACTCTCTCCTGCCGGCCTCCAGGTGTCGCTGGCGTTTGCCCCAAGAAGCGTCTTCCACGGGGCCCCACCCCCATGGAACACAGGTGCCTCAATGACCGCGAATGCGACTCTGGGAAGAAGTGTTGCTTGGAGGAGCATGGCCTGAACTGTGTATACCCTGAAGGACTCCACCGGAGCCAGAACCAGAACCAGAACCATAACCACAACCACAACCAGAACCACAACCAGAACCAGGACCAGAACCAGAACCAGGATCAGACAGGTGAGGAAGAGCTTGGCAAGACCCCACAAGGCAACCACTAGGTCTCTTGCTGTCCAACAGCTTCTCCAACGGTCTTCAGCCAGTACACACACACACACACACACCCCTGGGTGGCCACTGTCTTCTCCCCATCATCTCCTCACCACCTTGTTCCCAAGTCAGGCTTTGGGCATCCCTGTGGTTGTGGTGTTGCAGTCCTTTGTCAACCTTTCCCTGACCCAGTCCAGAGACAACTGCAAGACCAGCCCCCTGGGCCATTTCTCCTCTTAGAATAAGAGAGTTGGAAGGGACCTTGGAGGTCTTCTAGTGAAGTCCAACCTCCTGCTCAGGCAGAAAGCTCTATGGCATGTCAGACAGATGGTTACCCGACATCTTAAAATCTTCCAGTGTTGGAGCATTTACAACTTCTGGAGGCAAGTTGTTCCACTGATTAATTGTTCTCACTGTCAGGAAATTCCTCCTTAGTTGTAAGTTGCTTCTCTCCTTGATTAGTTTCCATCCATTGCTTCTTGTCCAGCTTTCAGGTGCTTTGGAGGATACCTTGACCCCCTCTTCTTTAGGGCAGCCTCTCTCAAATATTGGAAGACGGCTATCATGTCAGACTAGACCTACCCAATCCCTGCAACCGTTCATCGTATGTTTTAGCCTCCAGCCCCCTAACCATCTTTGTTGCTCTTCTCTGCACCTTTTTTAGAGTCTCAACATCTTTTTTATACTGTGGTGACCAAAAGTGGATGCAGGATTCCAGGTGTGGCCTTACCAAGGCTTCATAGAGCAGTATTAACCCTTCACATCTTGGAGGGAAGCCCGGGATTCAGGCAGGAGAGAGCTCAGCAGGAATCCCCCACGGATCAACCCAGGTCACACCAGGTTCAGATGACCAAAGGAGCCCACCAGCTCCACAGCTGGGAAACAGAAACCAGTCTGTGGGGCTCAGCTATTCCAGTCTTGGGTCCTGCTGCATGGCCCGTAGGGGCTCCTTCAACACTAGATCCGGAGATAATATGCACCGCAAAAGCAGACTGTGAAGCTCTTGGGCCTTTTTTGCGCCCAAGGTCCAGGTTGACCCTATCTCTATGTCCCTCCTTGCCTAACCTTCCAGATGCCCCATCAGAGATTCCATTATATATATATTGGACTATATATAATGGAATCTCTGGTGGGGTATCTGGAAGGTAGGCAAGGAGGGACACAGAAATGGGGTCAACTTATTCTCCAAAGCATCAGGAGCAAGACAAGAAACAACGGATGGAAACCAGTCAAGGAAAGAAGCAACCTGGAACTAAAGATAAACTTCTTGAGAGGGAGAACGATTAACCAGTGGGACTGTTTGCCTCCAGAAGGTGTGAATGCTCCAACACTGGAGGCTTTTAAGAAGAGACCGGACAGCCATTTGTCTGGAACAGTATAAGGTTCCTACTTCAGCAGGGGGTTGGACTAGAAGAAATCTAAGGCCCCTTCCAACCCTGTTATCCTATTACAGGTAGTCCATCGCTTGTAACAATTCATTTCGTGACTGCTCAAAGTTACAACAGCATGGAAAAAAGTGACTTATGGCCATTTTTCACAGTGACGTCGTTTGCAGCAGGTCATGTGATCAAAATTCAGACACGTGGAAACCGGTTCATATTTATGACCGTTGCTGTGCCCCAAGGTCACATCATTCCCCTTTGCGACCTTCTGACAAGCCAAGTCAGTGGGGAAGGCAGACTCACTGTGTGCAACTCCCACTTAACAACAGCAGTGGTTCACCTAGCAATGGCGGCAAGGAAGCTCGTAAAATGGAGCAACTTAAGAAATGTCTCACTTAACAACAGAAGTGTTGGGACCCGTTGTGGTTGTATTCCGTTATGAGACAAAGCAAGAAAGTGGAGCCCACAGGCTCAAGAAACACGCAGAGATGGAGAGGGAGGTTGGTTGCTCTTCTCTGCACTCTTTTTAGAGTCTCAACATCTTTTTTGTAATGTGGTGTCCAGAACCGGACGCAGGATGCCAGGCGTGGCCTTACTAAAGGTTTATAAAGCGGTTCTTATAAGTGACTAGCTGATAACCCGGCGTTGCCTGGGTTTTTATTTATCTCAGTCCTGTATTAGACAGGAAAAGGAATGAAGTATGTCTCGTGTCAGATCAGAGGGGGGGCCCTTGTGGAGTACTGTGAAGCCGTTACCATGGCAACTCCACTGTGCTGTACAGTAAAAGCCATTTTAAGGCACAACAGGCTGTGTCTTAACAGAACTTGAATCCAAAATGCACACTATCACTGTCAAAAATACTGTGATTTGACACTATAGATATATATACTTCATTCATTTCCATTTCAGTGGCCGAGGTGTTCAAGAATCATGCTGGAACAAACACACACACAGATACACCCACCCACCCACCAAGGGGTGTTAGGAGTGTCTTACCTCCATAATATTTTGTTCCAGAGAGTAAGTCATCTGTGTAACAAGCTTTGGTTGAAATTGCTTGAGGTGTTCCAGAGTTATGCTGGAACACACACACACAAAGAGAGAGAGAGAGAGAGAGAGAGAGAGAGAGAGAGACCCATCCACACCCACACCCACATTTGCACAAAAGTGCAACTTGACATCCATGGATGTTTGAGCAGCCCGAGCAGGGGAGAGAGGCGGGCTCTGCTTTCTGGGGAGGGGGGACACCGGGGGTCCTAACAACTCTCCAAAGCCAATTCTTTGAAGAACAGAGTTGGAAAAATGTCTCTGGAGATTTCCAGTCATCCAGGTCTCAAAGGTACTTTTTTCTTCAAAAAGCAGCTGGATTGTTTTTTCCAGGAGGAGGAGGAGGAGGGGGGGAGGAGGAGGAGGGGGAGGAGGAGGAGGAGGAGGAGGAGGAGGAGGAGGTGGAGGAGGAAATGTTTTGCTTCTCACCCAGAGTTAAGATTGGCTGGAAAGAAGAGAAAGACCAGGGGAGACAGGATAGCAGCCTTCCAATATTTGAGGGGCTGCCATAGAGAGGAGGAAGGGGATCAAGCTATTCTCCAAAGCACCTGAAGGCCAGACAAGGGATGGAAAGTGAACAAGGAGAGATTCAACCTGGAAATAAGGAGGAACTTTCTGACAGGGAGAACAATCAACCCATGGAACAGAAGTTGCCTTCAGAGGTTGTGGGAGCTTCATCACTTGAGACTTTCAAGAAGAGACTGGACTAAATAGGAATAGAATAGAATAGAATAGAATAGAATAGAATAGAATAGAATAGAATAGAATAGAATA